TTTGTTTTGACAAAAAACGGGCCTTTTTTGCTCATTTTTGGCGCTCCCACCTCTTCAGGAGCACTCTGCAAGCCCCTCCAAGGCTACTCATGCCTTCTAAAAAAAAACGGGCCCGTTTTTGGGAGGTTTGCAGAGTGCAAAAACTTTTTTTTTCCCTTTTGGAAAGTTCTTTAACTGATTGATGAGAATTACATTGATCAAGTGCTGTGCCAGCAGAAGCAAAGTTAGGTGCTGCAGATTGTCAGCGATTTCCTTCCCCAGCACATGGATAAATACACCTGGAAACATCTACCTACCTACTTTTTTTTAATTTGCCTCTTCAAAACCTTGGCACGTCTTATACTCTCGTGCATCTTATACTCCGAAAAATATGGTACCTCAGGCCTCCTGCAAAGCATACTTGTATTCCATTTTATGTTGTTTACATAATACAAGGGTAGACATGGATCATATAATCCATGTTTCCTGTTGTTAGCCCCTACAATCCCATTCTCCCTAATGTGTGAAGTAGTTTTTCAACTTATAAGGTAAGGGACTCAAGTTTTCCCATTGCATCTATTAAAGAAATAGATCCTTGAGAAAGGATCTATGCCCATGATGGCAAACCTATGGCATGCATGCCAGAGGTGGCACGCAGTGCCCTCTCTGTGGTTATGCGAGCCGTAACCTCAGTTTAGCTATGCCGCATATGAATGCTCACCTCCTACTGGCCAGCTGGTCTAAGGGCCTCTGCCGTGCATGTGCAGGAGGCGGGCACGTGTGGGAGACATAAACATTGCATTTTAGGTGTTTGAGCATGCGTCCTTGCATTTACACACGCTTTTGGACTTGGTCCGGAAAAGGTTAGCCATTCCTGATCTATTCCTTCCTCAGAAGGCTGATTTTTTTCCCCTATATGGAGAAAAAATGATTTGAGGTACTTACTTTTACCTTTGATCACCTCTCCCAAGTGTTCAATCCTATCAACTTTGCAGTCCCCAGACACACACACACCCAAAATTCAATGATAGGCTCCCCAAATTTCTTCACCCCGGAATTAGGTATTCACTTTTCTACATGAGTGATATAAATGCTTGCTCCAATTTCTTATTGTATATGGTGGTTTCCATAGCTTCTACTGTGTACTCTACATTCTTTAGTAATGCTAAAAACATCTATTATTCTATCACATTCAATAATCAAATAAAAGAAATATTTTGGGATAAATATGGTAGATAAGAAAAGGATTGTTGTTGAATTTTTCATATTTTTTAAAATTCTTCCAGAAGAACAGAAGATCACATTGCTAAAGTAATTAATACTTATTTTTATTTAATAATAAAATAATTAACAATAATTAATATTTTATAAATATTTCTTTAAAAAAAACTTGTCCTGTAAAATCCTCTTCAGATATGTGGGTCTTAGCCAATTTTGTTTGGTTAGCAGAAAACTAACAAGCTCAAACAATGTAGGAGATGATTCAAAATTATGTTCATTATAGTTTCATTTTATTTTAGCAATAGCCATATCCTCAGGATTGCCATAAATAAGCATAATGTTATCTTTTCTTAAGCCCAATTTATAGAATTATGTTATAAATGACATCTCTATATCCTTCTCTTTAGGTCGAGTCACCATGGAACATACGGAAATTGAGCTCAACTTTATGCTGGTTGGAGGTATGATAAGTTCTAAAATTATCTATCTAAAGTTATCTTTCTAAAGAAAATACATTTAGATATATCAGTACAAATGTAGAAATTTCTTTAAAAGCATGATTGTTATATTCTGATTTTTTACAGGTAATTTTTTATCTTTAGTCTTAACCAATACTGAACTAAATATTTTTTTTAAAAAAATCTCTTATAACCATTTGTTTTTAAATCTTCCATGCAGAGTTTTACTAGCATTTCGGAAGTCCTTATATCCTTTGGAAGAAGAGTTCTGTGCTACCCACTTTACAGACACTTTGGGTTAGTGATACGAGCCTGGAATGACACAATAATGATATTGAAATTAGGTAAGATAATATATTTTTATCAAATGGTTTTGAGTTGAATGTTACATCTATATTTTAGATACTTCAGAGATAGGACTTGTTAGGAGACGCTTGTGTGGGTTCATTGAGGGTCAGTGCTGTCTCTGGTTAGTTGTGTGGTTGATTTGGATTCTAAGGAGTTTGTAGGCTGGATGTAGGTTAGTGTGTCTATAGATGGAATTGCCAAAAATGCTGTATTAAGCATATAAGACGCACCCAGATTTTCACCTTTTTTTGGGGGGAAAGGTCCATCTTATACTCCGAAAAATATGGTATCTATGTATATAATACAGGGTGAGATATAAAACCAGTTGTAACTCCCCATTTATTTGGCAAATCCTCTAAAGTTAAATTTGGGCCTGATAAGAGTAGATATAGAAATAGTAGGTATAGTAGTTTCACAGTGTACAAAAAGTAACACATGCAAAGAGGAATAGAGGTCCTTCCCTTTGATGGATCACTTATCAGAAGTGATTTCTTTTTCACCAGTAAATATCCTCTTGATAGACCGAACAATGAGTAACATTACCATTTGTATAGAAGGCTGCATAAATGTATATTAAAGGATAATGTGTCATTTTTATGATCAAATTCTGAAAATGTGCTACTGAAAGCCTTTTTAGAATACCTGTAAATGACCATGGAACAAAAAAAATTGTTGGATAGAATAGGTAAAGCCAAACATCCCAGTATTCCCTGGAGTTGTCTAGCCTCTCTACTCATTAAAAATGTTTAGCAGTTTTAAAATCAACATGAAACTTGTTTAATTTCTTTCCATATCGCCAGATGCTTTCATTTGGATGTCTCAGGTTACCTAGGAAACTATTGTAAGATGAAATGTGATTGGCTCATTTGGATCATTGTTCGTGTTATGAATGGAATTGAAATAACTTAGGCTGTTCTTAAGCAAATAGTTAACAGGAGAGAATTTTCAGCTTTTACACTTGGTACATGATCATATTATGGATTTCAGAAGAGTTGAGGCAAATAATAAAACATTATTTGACAATAAGAGTGAATATGAGTTGTTGTAGTAATAGGGACTACCAAACAATATTTAAAATAAAATATAATAAAAATAAAATAAATTTTGCTGTCCTGTGATAGGAAAGATGGGGGTGGAAGAATGGGACAGACCTCATTTACAATTAATGATTTCCCCTAGTACCTTTAAAACAATTTACTCTGCCTACAAGTATTTGAGTAGTTGTGATAAATTGATAATTGTAATTATATGAATTAATGTTTTCTTTTCTCTTTCAGGTAAAAGTGCCATTTTGAAGTGTCTGCTAGATATTCACAAGATTTTTCGGGAGAATGATCCTGCATATATTCTCAATGACCTTTACATCACAGATTACTGCATTTGGATTCAAAAAGCTAAGTAAGTTCTAAATCTGTACTTCTTTTTATGATTCTGGGTGTTTTATTTTGTAGAAAAGAAGTAAAAAGGTCTATTGAAAGTATGCTTATTATATACACAACAATGTGAAATTGCACCTTATAATCTTTCAACTGGAGTTGGCCTTCATACAAATTAAGTTCTACCCAAGAACGTAGAATGTCATAATATATTGGCATAGTATATGGGCAGATCCAAGCAGTGTGGCGTATTGTAATTGACAGATTATTATAGTTGATCACAAAGGCAGGCAGCAGTTTAGACTGGACTTGGCATTTTTATCCACTTATTGACTTCTTCCCAAGGACCTGGGGTAGGCAGATGTTGATAGTGTTAAAGATATTGTCACAGGACATAGGTAGTTCCAAGTAAAGTTGCTTTTTGCAATTGATTGATTTTGGTGATTGGCTGATGTGTTCAAGCACTGCGCTACAGTTGGTTTGGGATTGAACCAAGGCTCTTATTATTTTGCTTTCTTTTGCTAGTCATTCTACTTCTATTCGCAAATCTATGTATGTTTTTATTTTTTCCCCAGTTTTTACTTCTATTGTGCCTTACCCAAGTACTTGAACATCCTCTATCCAGACTTTTTTGTCTTTCTTATTGTTAAGTGTTGCATTGCAGATACTTGTCTATTTGAATTGTAAGAGCACTTTAGTTTCTTCAATTTCTATTTGTCCATTTTGTGTTCCCACCAGTTTATGCTTGCAAGGCAAATGATATTTCTTGCAGATTTTCCAATATGCCATTGTTGCTACTTTGTCATGTTGTTATTTGAGGTCATTGTTTAAATTGTACACTACTCGGAGGAATATGGGTGGCTAAGCAGTGTGGAATATAGATAAACAAATTATTATATACACACAAAGGTGAAATCACAGCTGCAAGTTCTTTAGCCATTGTTGGCTTTTATCCTATCTTTTTATACATAATTCAAGGGGACAAGCATTCCTAAAACCCCTGCTTCCAATTTTATACATCAAACCTGGGATGCAGGCTAACCATTTCTATACATCACAGGGCTCTCTTTTACAGATGACTCAAGAAATTGCAGGTAATATCCCCACATTCATACATATGCTCAACTATGATAGAAAATTATATGGGTTAATAGGAAGATAGTCAGAAAACCTGCCATATTGGAATATAACAGTGTCATCCTTTTCCTGTTTACAGAGGATGAGCCTGTTTGGTCTAGTTATTAAGGCTCCAGGCTAGAAACAAGGAGACTGATTTTGGTCCAGTCACTCTGTCTCAGCCCAACTCATCTCACAGGGTTGTTGTGGGGGGGAAAGGAGCATTAAAAATTACAAACTCTCTTCTTGTGGAGTTTACATTTTAGGCAGAAAAATCTACATTTTTTATCCTTCCAAGAATCCAGTCTAGCATGCTCTCCGTACTTAACATGCTTTACTGATGAGGAAGCAGCAGTAAGATGAGGCTGCTAATATGTCCTTTAACTACTGCTTTCCTTCTCCCTAGAATCACTACAATATAATCAATGTTTGCCTTAGTTAAGAAACATTCTGCTATGCTTTCCTCTTGATTATCTGTGGGAGTGTTAGAAACGTGAGCTATTATTAAGGTACTTATTATATGCATTTGAGATATAAATTGCATAAAATAAGCACTTTAGCACAATGGCCAAGTTTCATTTCTCAGTCTTGATTCACTAGATATGCAGGGTGCAGTACTTTAAAAGCTCTTGCTATATTATCATCCCATCCCTTCCCCAAGACAGGAAACAAGTTGCTCAAGAATGATTGGAAGTTTATTGATCTATGTTAACAGAATCTTGAAAAACTGATTGATTTTCCTTCTCTCCCTCTCTAATACCCCAGGGAATAGAAGGCAGTTAGTTTGAGTTTCGTTTTAATGCTTTCTTCTTTTATTGGGCTTAAAACATTTTTGTAACTGTCTCTATATAGCAAGTCTAAGGACATCTTTGTGGCTTTCCAAAATATAAGAGTCTCTTCACAATAGTAAGTCGCCAAGCCCTGAGTTATGATCCCAGCTTCTTGGGAGAATATCATGCCCACAAATTCTGGAGGTCCATTGACACTTGGCATCCATTAAGTATCATGCCCTTTCTGATATCTTTAGAATAAAACAAACAGGAAGCTCCCATGCCACAAATGGAAGTCAGAACGCAGTTCTTTATTCTCAAGAAAGTCTCAGCAGGTGGAAATACCTGGCTTACCTTTTTTGAGGTGAAGGAAACTAAGCAAGGTTAGTGCCCCATCCTAGAACTAACTAACAGGGAATTCCAGTGTTAAATTCTACATTAGAATGCTAGATTTTTTTTAAAAAATTCAGAAGACAGGTAACAAACCATTTAAGTATTTTTGTCCACAATACTTCATTGATATGTTCATGTAGTTACCGGAGTTAAACTCAACATGAGGTTTATCTGTACATTTTTATTTCCCGTCATGCTTTCAAACTGCATGTGTGCCAAAGCTGTTTTCAAAAATAAAATAAAAAATAGACTGAAGCTGATTGTTTTTATTAAAAGTGTGCCCAAAGGACCTTGAAGAAGGATAGGGAGCTGAGGTGAGGGAGCTGCCTGAAAAAGGATAAGTAGGATCAACTTTTTCTTCTGATACATTGATATTTTGGGGAAATATTCATTATATCTTTCAAAATCTTAATATTGTCTCACTAGTTCAAACATTTAGGAACCCTAAATTAAATCAAACATTAGTGCAGCTTCCTCTGTTGACTAGAAGATCCTGCAGAATTGATGTTTTATATCAGCTTATTTAGTCCTGATAAGTTAGAATTTTAAAGAACTCCAATATATGAGTGAATGCCATAGTAAACTCAATATACTGTGTACTTTTAGAAAACAGAAAGCAAAATTACTGTTCTAAAACATGCCTGTGGTTTTCAGATATAGAAGACCTCATCATACAAATCAACTAAGGTCTCTTGTAAAGTATAAGTAGTTCTAAATACTGGCTGAAATTGATTCAGAAAATAATTCAATAAACTTAATTCAGTCAACTACCACATGCTCAAGGAACATGCCTAGGAAGAAGACAATTATCCTGTGATGATTTGGATATTTTAGATCTACTACCGGTAGTTATTTTTGTGGAAGTTATTTAGAGAAGCATGAATCCTTATAGATGAATCCACCTTTCTTGTGAAGGGATTTATCGTTCTAATAAGTGCCCTTTGCAAAGGACACTGCAGTTCCTGTTATTGCCTTTAATTGAAAAATAATTAAATTGAAAATAACTTCATTTCTTTATTATTATTCTCCAGCCCAATAGAATAATCATGTCATTGCTCTATTTGTGGGTTGAGGAGAACCATCAGGGCACATAGGTTCTCAAATTGTTCAATTAGTTGTAGACTGCCTATTTCTTTTTGGTTAAAGTTTTGACTTTCTAGTTTATCTTCCACAATCTGTTGTCTTTCAAATGTGGTTGAAATGATTTCCTATGTATTTTAGAGCATCATACGGAGGGAGAGAATTACACTACATTGTCTGGAAAATGATATTGCATAATGCTTATGCTAAACTAAATAATTTGTAGAACTGTATCTCAATAAGCTTGCACAGTAAATAGGTTTTAAGCAAAATGTAATAAATCTGCATTAAGTAAATTATGCTTCAACCATTTATATTCATATTTTTTTTAGGGAAAATCTGAAGAGTTAAATGCCTTTGAACCATATTATTGTATGTATGTATGAATTTACCAGTCATAGCCTAGATCATTTCAGGTTGGCTATTATACATCAGGAGTCCCCAACCCACGGGCCATGAACCAGCTCCAGTCCACAGCCTGCCAGGAACTGGGCTGCACAACCAAGGGATGCCGCATCCACACACATGTGGGGTCCAGGCAGTTTGTGAAACCACACTCCCCCAGCCCGTGGAAAAACTGCCCTCCACAGAACTGGTCCCTGGTGCCCAGAAGGTTGGGGGCTGTTCTTATACATGATTTATTACAAGGCTAGTGGCTGCCTAATTTTGCCATCCCAGGCACTTGTTTTGATTTCACTTAGGATATGGTTGAACTCCCTAAATGGAAAATGTTGAATTCTCCTGTGAGTTCTTTAAAAGAAAATCTCCAGCGGTTACAGACCCAAGCAAAAGCATCAACTAACATTTTTCAGTTATACAATATGTTAATTTGTGTTGGACAGGGTTAAAAAAATGAGCAAATTAAAATATTTTTCTCTGGAAAGAACCTTTTAGTCTGAAAAGCTTAATTGGCCTCTTTTTTCGTTTTGTTGTTTTTCCTTTCCAAGGCCTTTTCTCATGTTTCATTCAACAAAGCATTTGGCAATATTACATTCAGCATATGCAGCACCGTAAATAACATACCCTGTGCCCAATAATTTTCTAATGCTTATTGTCTTATATACTCCCTTATACTGTATACTCCCCACCAAATGTTCCATTGTAATTAGTTATTCTTGAATGTATTCTTGAAAAAGTATTTGAAACATGAATAGAGTTGGTAATAAAGCTCTTTCCAAATTGCAGTGGTTACATGGCAAACATAGGAAGCAGGTCATCCAAGGATCTCTGTAGGTGTTGTCAGCATTTTATGTTGAAAAGCCAAGTGCACCCAGGTGGAAAATTGCATCTTTAACCCCTGAGCTCATATAGCATGTTGCCACTCCATTTTGATCCTTCTGCTAAACAAGTCCATAATACTCCTGGCTGCCAATCTTTGATCTTGTTTTGATTTTTCAAAAAAAAATCAAGCTAAGTCTTGAGGTCACAAAGATGCTTTCCAAGAAGCAACTGGACTTTCTTGTTTTTCTTTGAAGACATTTCACTTCTCATCCAAGAAGCTTCTTCTGCTCTGATTGGATGGTGGGGAATGGAAGGATTTATAGTCCTTGCAGACAGCTGGTCATTTGCATTCTTTTAAAGAGTCCTTTAGGTCTCTTGCAGATTTATCTGTGTCCTCAGGATCACTTGAGTAGTGCAAATGGGTGTGGAGCCTTCTTAGAAC